CTGCAATCCTCCTGGAGAACCACGCTTCGGCACGAATGGGTCGACATGACCGGAGTGATACCACGGCCTCAAAGAACATCGACGTAAAACAACGCTTGCGTCGTGTTTTTTGGTGTGGAGTAAGGCTACCGGAGGCCCAATTTCCCCCCTCTCTCCCCCAATCTTCCCATTCCCTGAATCCCTAACAATCCTCAAATTCCTAATCACCAAAAGGCCGGTAATGCACTTGTAACGCCTTCTTCCGGGTGTCCGTGGGTAACGCTGACTGCTTTTTTTTAAGAGGCATAATCATCGAATGTATTCTCCCGCCTGGGTGAGGCGGGAGGGAGTGTCAGACTCTTACTGATTAAAAACCACCCCGTTCCTACTCCTGCCCTTCGAGCCGGAGCCCCGGTAACCCGTTAGGTCCTCCGCTCCGTGCGCCGAATGCTTACCATCAGATGGATCATCAGCTCGATTACTCGTTTATCCCATAAAAAATCACCATGACTGCATCTATACCCACACATGCTAAGAATAAAAACCAATGAATACTCAACAGGACATGGTCTCTCAATAAGCCTACGGACATAAAACGAGTAGACACTAAATGTAATGGTAATGGCCATATTAATTTGCACATTAACGACTTGATCCCAATCGCTTAATGACAAGATACTAGAATAATTTACTCTTAGTATCCATTTGGATTCTGATAACACGTTTTCCTGAATGGACTATTCGAATTGAATTCAGGAATTCCTTTAATATGTTGTTTAACTATCAATAGAAGTTAATTACGAATAAAAATTAACTGATATACTTAAAAACCTTAGGCCTTTAATATTTTTTTTTACGTTAGCTGGACGTTAACAACAGCTTTGGTATATGAAACAGATTAATTACAATTCTTTCATACCTGGATATTACATGATATTACGTGATATCATACATCTATATTATTTATATCTTTTCCTCAATAAACACAGGAATTTATACACGTAACTATTTCAACATAATAATAACATCAGTCTCGTCTAGGTTTATATTACGATATCCGCAAACTGGCTGGTAGCGGTTGGACGCGTAGAGCTGAAGATCGAGGTCAGTGGCGTGGCATTGAAGAGACCTATGCCCAGCAGTGGACGAGAACTGTTAATGATGATGATGATGAATAACTGATGTTATACAGAGCAAAGGCCACATACAGTCTTTTGCCTTACATCTTAAAGTTGCTTAAACCTAAGCTCTATACGAGGACGATCCCCAACCAGATGGTCTGACCAGCTCAAGGATAAACCAGCATCGAGGTTTTACACCGCAACATAAATGGTCGCAGATAGCCGATGGAGACAATTTGTCCAATCTAGAGTGGTTCCAGGATGGTTACAATCCTCAGTCGTGAGGGATTGCCTGGAGGGAGAGATATAACATAACATAACATCACGCCTTTTATCCCCGAAGGGGTAGGCAGAGGTGCACATGATGCCACTGTACAAGGTAACACCTACTTTTCACAATTTATGTTATGAGTCCCATGTAATAGGGGGTGAGCCTATTGCCATATACCGGGTACAATTCTATACACCGTGCTAATACTGAGATTTTTTAAAAATCCAGTAATACTTTGCCCGATCTGGGAATTGAACCCGAGACCCCTTGCCCGGTAGTCGCACTTGCGACCACTCGGCCAACGAGGCAGTCAGCCAACGAGGCAGTCAGTCAACGAGGCAGTCAGCCAACGAGGCAGTCAGTTAACGAGGCAGTTTAAATGAATTTTGTAAAAAAAAATACAAAATCACCTTCACAAAATAGTGCAAAAGCAAAACGTTTTCAATTTATTTAAAAGAGAAAATGAAAAATATTAATAAGTATATGAATATTTTCATGAATACAAAAGTTCCAGCTATGAATTTGTACATACAGTACAGAGATTTCTAATAAAGAAAACATTGGCAAAACGTAATTAGAATAAATTCACTTTGAAAACAAGCGCCGTAATTTGAAACTATAAAACCCCTACCATTGACGAGAAAGTCGAAAGTGATGAAAACATTCATAAAGAATAACACAACCACCAATAAGGAAAAAAGAAAAATTTGCTAAAAAATAAACATTTTATTACTGTGTTCAAATTCTGTCGGAACTAGTAAATAGAAAAGCCAAATAAGTTTTGACATATTTTCGTCAAATAAGTATTAAGAATCTTTTAGTGGTCTGTTAGACAAGTGTTTAGTGGGACTGATTTAATTGCCCGAATAATCATATACGATTATTAAGAAGGTTAGGTATAATCTCAAAATAGGACTCCAAGATGTTGAAATGTATTCCAAAATTCCTAGTATCATATAAAACTAAATCAGAATGTGTATTCCAGTGTTTAACCAGCTGATCGTTTAAACAATAAAATAGTGAACATAACTACCTATAGAAAAATGTAAAATACATGCATGTGATAATAATCTAGAATATTTCTCTAGAGAGAATTCACACGATATAATCCCATTCTTTTCTCTCTCTATCTCTCTCTCTCTCTAACCGTATTCACTTTTATACCGCTAAAACTACACGCATTTATGCCGAACAAAGTTCATAAAACCGCCTACAGTTTCGAGTGAAAACTTTTAACAACCATAGTAGGGTCTATTTATACATAAAATGAAAATATAAACAAGTTTCATTTATGGGAGGCACGGCTGGCTTGGCAGCCAATTAATATAATTCTGATAGTTTAGATCCAATCAAAGTTTTCGACGCGCGATGGGTAATTTTATTCAAGAGTAATTCAACACTGGTCAGTTTATTCCATTTTTTACTGCGTGAACAGTGTAATCGGGTTGTGTTCGTTTTTTATCGCATTATTTTTCAGTATTGTATTGTATTGTATTGGATTGGATTACATTTTCATTTGCAGCTGCAACCCGAATTGGTGAAAGTGATTCTGTACTTTTTTTTTATTTTGTATGTAATTTTTATTCGTTATACGTTTGTACTGACGATTTTATATTTTTATTGATTACAATTTTTATAGTATAATAGAACATCACGGCCTTATCCCCGAAGGGGTAGGCAGAGATGCTCATTACAACACTTAATGTTACTATACAATGTAACACCCACTTTTCACTATTTATGCCATATACCGGGCACATTTCCAGACTCCGTGCTACTACTGAGAATTCTTAAGAAAACCGAGTAATACTTTGCCCGACCCGGGAATCGAACCCGAGACCTCTTGCCCGGTAGAATGAAACACAAAAGCGAGACCAGACTAAAATATCAATATAAAGTAAAAAATCTAAATTACAAATTCTTTACATAAACATAGCTACTAAAGATGCTCAAGATTATTATGAAGATGAAGTAACATAGTTGACCTACATTAAAATTTATGAGCACCAAGGTCTTTAACGTGATAACATCATGTAGACGTAAAATACTGACCGAATCGACCCAAGAGGCAATTTCTTTAGCACTATAGACCAAGATCTCAAAGCCTCCAGACCTTACTTATTAGCTGACGAACAAAACTTGTATGGCAGGTTATTCTTAGTATGTATAGTCAACCTGCCAGTTTAGATCGATGGCCAATTTGTAGATACCAAATGCTATAAATACGTAAAAATTGTACTTGTAGTTTGAGGTATTTTCTAGGTCTTATCTTATCTAGATTTGAGGTGGTATTTAGTTATTAACAGTCTTACACTCTCTCTTGCCTCACCCAAGGTGGGAAAGGACATTAGATGATTTTCTTCCCTTCAAAAAATCGATTTTTTATTGTCCGTTAAAAAATTAATAAGGTCTGGTGGCTCTGGGATATCAGACTAAGAAAATTTACTCCTAAAATAAATCTTGCCAAACATAAAATATTTCAACGATTCTTCATACACATCAATATGGTATGGTAATGATCATACGGTAATATTTTTCTCTGACAAAATCGAGGTTTTTTCGTTTATGCTGACTCGTATATGATTCACTAGCGTCCGTTTTCGTAATATTCTTTGAGTTTATATTGGTTTTATTTGAGGGTGATCAAGTAGGCTGGGTTTTATTTTCTGATTTGGATAAGGCTTTTGCAAGTAATTGTTCGAAAGTTGTAATATTAATCTAACATAAATAATGGTGATATGTTTCTGGTATCATAGTATCGAAAAAAAATCGAAAATCCTTTGTCAGATAGATCAGAACTTCTTCCAAAGTCAAAGTCAAAGCATTTATTTCAATTAATACTTAATTAGATACTTTTGAAATGTAAAAAATTCAATTGTCGGTCCGTATGTCAGTCAGTGACGCTTGGCGCTCGTTCTTCGGTTTAGTGCTGCACTGTCATTACATTTGTATTATTAACTAGCTTCTACCCGCGACTTCATATGCGCAATCCCGTTTTATACCCGTTCCAAATATCCGTCAAAAAGTATTGGATAAAAGTATCCTATGTCCGTCTCCGGGTTTAAGGCACTTCCAAATTTCATCCAAATAAATTTTACCGTTCTTGAGTTATAAATAGTGTAACTAACACGACTTTCTTTTATATAATATACTAGCTTTTACCCGCGGCTTCGCTCGCGTCACAAAAGGATAAACGTAGCCTATGTGACATATACTAATACACACAGCGCCATCTATACCAATACTTTTGTTTTCCCTCGGGAATATCAATTTTTTCCAGGATAAAAGTACCCTATTATTTAATCCGGCCTTTTAACTTTACGTCTGCAAAAATTCAAAGCAATCGGTTTAGTAGTTACGGCGTGAAAGCGGGTCAAACAAACAAACAAACAAACTCACTTTCCGATTTATAATATTAGTAAGGATAAGATAACTTAACGAACGTCCAATTTTTTTTGAAGTATGCAGCGATGCACACAATTAAAATGTGTAACAATCACTTTGTAACACACCTCCGTAAATTCTTCGTAGTAATTATATATGGCAAAACTATTAAATAATATGGGAGCCGTGTTTTCTAAAACATATGTGTTTGCATACCACTTATCAGTATTTCTCTTCTTCTCCAGATTCTGTTAATAGAAGCTGGCCCAGAAGAACCTGAGGTAACCAGCGTCCCATCATTTGCACCAGTTCTTGGTAGATCCAGCATTGACTGGAATTACAGAACTCAACCAGAAGAAATGACTTGCAGAGCTCAAAGAGGACAGACTTGCGCTTGGTTGAGGTATGTAGATATATTTTTTTATTAGGTTTTGGTAGTCATGGCTACAAAGAGCAAGTGAAGGTTTAAATTATGAATGTTTTGTCACAATCAGTGGCGTAATTATACCGTTCGGGCGAATGGGCGCGAATGGGCTCCAGTTCCCAATAAAACAGACAAGTTCAGATGAAAACCTCTGAACGGGGCCCCTTCTAACTGGGGGCCCATGGCATTACCACCCTGTAGTTTTGCCACTGGCCACAATGCCCAATATTGGCACAACAAATTCAATAAAGAATGGTGTCTCATTTTGAATCGGTCAAAAACATGAAACGCTATTATGAAATGGAATCTAAAGTGCATTCAAGTAAAGTATTTTTTAGCTTATTGCATAATGATAGATTCTAATAAAATTTGTTTTGTGACCAAGAAAATAACTGTCTGACGTCATCCAACCGCAAGATCTATGAGTAAAATTATGATAAGTAAAATTGAATAAATAAAGTTTTAATGGAAGAAAACTGTCTTACTATCTTGATGAAATGTTGGATTTAATTAAAGTTTACTGCGAAAGGTTTCGTTATTGTAGACAAGAGATGAAATAAGTGTTACAAATTGTGAGATAAAATTGTTTATTTATTTTGTAAAGGTCATAGTGTTACAGTAAATTGTTGTAAGGCTTTGAGTTCTAAGAATTCAAAATTTCGCGAAATGTTAATTTAATCGATTGAACTGAAAACGTTATTCAATTATGTAGTTGTGCTAACAAATTCTGTTTATACGTATATATCTATTATTTACATCCATTTTTAAATTCAACAAATACATTTATATACAAAAACATAAAATATATTTATAATACAAAATATAACGTATTATTATTGGCACAATATTACCTGAAAAACGATTCCACAAGTCGTCGATACGCGTATTTTTACCACAAGATGTAATTTCTAAAATATTAATTGAATTTGATGAAGTGATCCCGTACATTATTTTGATATCCATAGCATGACCTATATTTTTGAAAATCGACTTTGAAGAATGTCCCCAACATATAAATGAACTTATTTAATTTACGAAATAAACCTTTCTCTTTTTTTATTATTTAAATTAATCCTAATATTGAATAAAGCTACTCATTGCTTCACATAAAGATTAGAATTATCAAATAATACATAGCAATGGACATTTAGTATTAAATTGTAACGGGTGTAATGTCCTGCGAAGGAGATAACCTCTGGTTTTGAGTGAATTATTGGTGGAAACGAAGCCCATTGAGAGACAGTTTAGGCAATATTCTATTAAGTATCGTTGTAAGGAATGTACAGACTGCCAAAAAAGGAAACAACGATGATGTTGAAATTATACCCCAAAAATTTGAGTTATTTTCTTAAAATAAATATTACAGGTTTTATCTGTATACACGAATATATTTTCATGTTTGAGACTATAGGTACTAAGATTTTTCCAGCAAAAGCTTTTCACAGGTTATCGGTCATATATTTATTTCAATAATATTAATACCGTATACATACAAACATTAATATACTTCACCATACTCGAATAACGAAGAAAATGCGTCAGATTGAATTCCCGATAAAATATGCCAAAGTAATATATGCATATCGAACGTGCCAAATTCGCAGTAACCAGTCCAAAACCAACGTATAAAATTCAATTCAGTATAATTATAGCAATAGATGCCGTCTATAACACAATATTTGGGACTGATAACATACTTGACAACGAATCATCTAACGCCTTCGAGGAGCGAATAGGTATGATGCAATGTAATGCTACTAATTAATTTTGACATTACAGTGGCCGTGTTATGGGGGGATCCAGTGCTATAAATTACGTGGTATACATGAGAGGTAATAAAAAGGATTATGACCAGTGGGCTGCTCTTGGTAATGAAGGTTGGAGTTATCGCGAAGTAAGTAGAATTGTTAGGAACATAATTTAAAACTTACAAGGCATAATATTTTGGCCATAAAATGTAAATAAAGTCCAATTTAGCTATAATTTCATAAGCATGGAAGCTTAAAATTGTCTATCAGTTTGCTTAACAAAATATTTCTGTACGAAACCATATATTTATTTATATATTTCAATCGAAAACTGTGATTTTTTTTCTAAAGCATTTTTTCTATTTTTAGGTTTTATATTACTTTAAGAAATCTGAGAACAATCAGAACATCGAAGCCAAAGATATCGACCACCACGGAGTTGGAGGCCCTCTAAATGTTGAAAGATTTGCTTACACCGATCCAAATGTTGTAATGCTAGTAAAAGCTTTTCATGAAAAAGGTCTGCCATTGGTCGATTTTAATGGGAAAAGACAAATTGGAACAATGACAACCCAAACAACCACAAAAGACGGTAAACGAGTGTCAGCCAATGACGCATTTATAAGACCTATACGTCACAAAAGACCAAATCTTACAATATTAACAGGAGCTCAAGTGACAGAAGTAATGTTCAAAAAGAAGGTAGCCATTGGAGTTCGGTATGTCAAAGATGACGTAATATACGAAGTTTATGTATCTAAAGAAGTGATTATTAGTGCTGGAGCATTAAATAGTCCCAAAATCTTAATGCTGTCAGGCATCGGGCCGAAAGATGATTTAGACGATCTGAAAATACCAGTTATAATGGATTCCAAGGTTGGCTATAATCTACAAGATCATGTAACGACTGAAGCAGTTTTAATGGGTCTAACCAATATGACGTCAACACTCCTGCCGACCAAAGAAATATTAAAAACCCTAAGCAGTTTTGCTAAATATGGGACAAAGTTTGATGAAATTTCAGCTACTGGTCCTTTACAAGTTACTGCATTTTATAGAACAAAACATGCTGGAAATGATCAAACCATTCCTGACATACAATTTCATTTTGATGGCAGAAATAGAAGAGATTTTTACTTAGATCCACCTACATATTTAGCCACAAACATTTTTCCATTTTCTTCATACGATAGTATCAACGTCAGACCAATTCTCCTACAGCCAGCAAGCAGAGGATACTTGACATTAAACAGGACTAATCCAGTTTTTGGCCAACCATTAATATATCCAAGATTTTTCACTGTGAAAGACGATTTAGACGCTTTGGTAGCAGCACTGAAGTACATCGTCAAATTAGAAAAGACGAAAGCATTTAAAGAAAATAATGTTAAGTTTATAAGAAGAAGAGTGGAACCGTGTAATGATCATCCGTGGGGAACTATAAAATATTTCTCTTGTATTCTTAAAAGTTATACGGGGACTATTTATCATCCGGCTGGAACATGTAAGATGGGGCCACGACATGATGAAAACGCCGTGGTCGACGCTAGACTAAGGGTGTATGGTGTACAAAATTTAAGAGTTGCTGATGCGTCTATCATGCCCCATATTGTTAGAGGTAATACAAATGCTCCATGCATGATGATTGGAGAGAAAGTCGCTGACATGATCAAAGAAGATTGGGATGTTGTCTTTTTCGAATCTTTAGTGCGAAAATAATTAGAAACAAATTTTGTTAATGTGAGTCACAAGGAAATCACACTTTAAACTAGGTACAATGTACAGACAGTGTTAGGATTTTTAGGGAGTGTTTTAGTATCTAAAACCTAGTACAATGATATCAGGCAATAATGGCAGACTTATAACGTGTATAATTTTATCACTTATTGTCTTCTTAGTTCTTAAAATGAGTGTTGGAGAGCCATGCGAATAGGCTGGCTCGATCGGAGTGATACCACGGCCTTACAGAAAAACGACGTGATACAACACATTCGTTGAGTGAGTGAGGTTACAGGAGGCCCTCAAATTCCTTAAACCCAAAAAGGCCGGTAACGCACTTGCAACACCTCTGGTGCTCCGGGTGTCCATGGACGATGCCAATTGCTTACCGTTGATCCGTCTGATCGTTTACCGGCTTACGCCATAAAAATTCTTCAGAGCTGTTCCTTAGGTTTAGAAAAAACTATGGCTTTAGGTATTTCGTTTAAGAAAAAGATGTTAACACATCTTATAATCTTATAAAATCCTTTGTTTTGCAGATTTCACAAAAACATTTTTTTGATTGAATATGAATAAGAAAAAGAATTTTAGAATTCCATCCTATCAGGGAATGTCAAGCCCGTACTAGTGTTAAAATAGCATTGGCATAAAATAACAAAAATAACGTAAATAAGTGGAGTAAATAAAATACACTCACGTTATTCTAAAAAAGCTTTTGTTTCTTGTTAATTAAAGTTTATTTTATATTATCACATCTTCCTCATTTCACTTAAAAGTATTATCTACTCTAGATTTTTTACGTTTATATTTCTGCCTAGCTATTTAAATAGAAGAGTTCGTTCGTTGTTAATATTAAAAATAAAAAGATTTGCCAAAGAATTTGCTACTTTAATTTCCTCAATTAACCTAAATCCCTTCTTATTAACTGAAAGAGATTGTGTAAGGAATGGTAAGTAAAAGAATAAAATTGGTGTTTTAATAATTATATTACCTAAGGTTCGTATTCACTAGGCAACTTTTGACGCGCAACATACAGTTTATTTTTTATGATGTTTAGCCACTATCAAAGTCAAAGTCAAAATCATTTATTTCAATTAGACCAGGAAGGCACTTTTGAACGTCAAAACAAAATATTTAAATATTAAATAATAAGAAAAAATGACAGTCTGTAGGTCAGTCCTCTAGTGAAGCTATTTGCTCGTTCCAAACTGTAGATTCCTATGGAGAAGAACGAGCAAGAAACTCCATAGGTTATTCTTTTTCAATCATGTTCACAATACGATTATTTTTGGTTACATTCATTACATTACATATCTCGCCTGATGGTAAGCTGTAAGATGATACGGGCTACGATGGACCACATACCCATAACCAACCTATTCACTCGAAAATTGCAGACACACACAACAAAAGTGTCTTAACTGACTGTGTTCAGACTGTACGGTTGGCGCGGTGGCTGGGCAACTGGCTGCCGCGCAACGTGTCGCGGGTTCGATTCCCGCACGGAACAACTCTTTGTGTGATCCACAGATTATTGCTCCGGGTCTGGGTGTCATGTGTATGTGATATTGTATGTTTGTAAACGCACCCACGACACAGGAGATAATGCTAGTGTGGGGCAACGTTTTTTTTTTAAAAAATGATTTTTTTAAGCACAGCTAGCCACAAAGATACCCAGGTTGTACCTTTCAGTTACGCTCATGCCATGTTGGAAAATCAACGTGAAACTTTTGCTTAGCCATGATGTTTATCTACCTATTATAATTAATGTCGACAGACAAATTAGTGTTGCGTATCACTGCTCTACTCGACAACATCAGATGCTTAAGTGCATAGTTGCACCGAAACAAATGACAAGCCACACGTCATGTTGAGCGTCAAATCGTATGACGCTGTGCAATGCTGCTTACTTGATATAAATCCCCATTGTTCAGACAAAAGTAGCATCTGATACATCGGAAATAAGGTTTATCATCGTTTAGTTGGTTCTGACTGCACGGTTGGTGCAGTGGCTGGGCAACCGGCTGCCGTGAAACATGTCGCGGGTTCGATTCTCGCACGGAACAACACTTTGTGTGATCCACAAATTGTTGTTTCGGGTCTGGGTGTCATTGTGTATATGAACTTGTATGTTTGTAAACGCACCCACGACACAGGAGAAAATCATAATGTGGGGCAACGTTTTGTTTTTTAAAGTTACAATGTTCTGTGTCAAATGTATCGTGTCTAATGTTGCCAAGTGGATACGAGGCTTAAAAAGTAATCTTAGATTTTGTTAGTAGAAGAAATAATTTAGCAGTAAGTATACTAAATGTTTTTGGGCTTTCTAACTTTACGTAATGTGTTTAGAATTTAGAATACGTGTCGTATTTATATAGCAGGTAAGATGTAGAAGTTTCAGTTCTGTCACTGTTTAGATTACATTTGTTTAGTGTTTTACTAACTCTTTTGTTCATCGTTGTAGTTCGTTTTTGAAACCTATTAAACTGACTATTTACTTATCCATTAATGTTTTATAAGTTTTTGATAAATCTCAAAGATGACGTTTTTTAAAGTATATGCAATAAACACAATTCAATAAATAAAGTCAATGTAAATTGATCGAATTTAAATCTGATGCTTTGGTAACCACTTTCATTGTGAATAGGTCAATTTGACCTATTGCATCTAACCTGTATAACAGCAAAGTTTTTACATCAAAATTCTTCTGGCGCTGACAGTTTTTAAATTGGGAAAACGCCACTTCGATGCACGACGTGATTTCGTCAGGTTTTTCGAGAACTTTATGTTTTTCTTCAGATTCGGATACACGTGTCATTTTGGATACATTTGACATAATACCATTAACTAAACCGTTTTTATACAGTCTGTATTTATATTGTAAAATTATACAGTCTGTATTTGTATTATTAAGTATGGAGATTTCATTGTTTGTTTGTTTTAATTGATTGGATCGATATGACGTAATTTAAGAATGGATAACATACTTTCCAGAGAGTAAGATAGGGTTCTTATTATCTTAATATTCTTACAGGATTCAGGCTTAACACAGACGAGACTTCTTAGACATAAAGCTTAATTATGTATACTCGTAATAGTAAATAACATAATAAGTATAATAATGTCGTTATTGTCATCAATAGCTATAATTAAATTAATGTTATTTGTTGCCAGATTGCTTCTTGTAGTGGTCATCATAATGATCACTCATCATGAAGTATTATTGGTTTTGTCGATCGTGATACCGTTCTTAGAATCAATAAATAATCTTACCTAACAATGTCATTAGCTTTCTCATAGACAGCTATAATACATAAGGTCATTGTAGGCCAAAGAGTACTAATAAATTATGATTTAGGATCGAACCATAGTAGTTACTAACGCTACTATTTAGACTGTAAAGGCACTGTAACACATGCTAATTTCAAGCGTGATAGCATGCTTCAATTGAGTACTAATTGTCACTTATATAGTTACATAAGTGTCAGAATGTTGCTCAAAATTAGCGCATTCATTTTATACATGCTTGCGAATCGACAGGCATTCGACTTTTAAATATTTTTTAAGTATGCTCAATAGAACTCTTTTTATGTCGAAATACGCAAAAATCACTTCTTTTTTTAAGTCGCGCTGAAATATAAGTCTGTCACTTCAAATTCCCTGTAAAATGACAGAGATGGAACGATATATAAAAGCTATTTAAAATTGAGTAGTTTTATAAGTAGTATGTGTAATAATACCTTAAGATTCAAAGTTACAGGATATTTTCTATAAGAGCATGAATTCTCCCTATAGAGTAGACTTTTCAGATCTTTTCGTAGATAATAACAATGTTTAAAATTTACATTATTTAGTTGTATTAACTGTAGTTTTTGTGTAGAATATAACTTTTAATACGTAGTTTTAAGTTGTCTCGTAATTATAGTTTGTTTTTAATCTTATTTTAGTATTAAGATCTCATTTTGAGCACCGTAGTGTATCACGTAATTTTTTTGTTCGATTTGCTGTAGTCTTAGATATATTTTTTTATTTGTTTGTTTTCAGTTGTTTTGTGTTTCAGTAGTCACCATCGCACATTATTTTTGTTTGTCCATGTATCTAACCCCAAAACAATATAAGCTTGTCAGTCAAATTATGAAATCCACAAATTCCAATAGAAAAATTTTCATATTCATTCATATCACTACTTTAGAACGATCAAAGTCATTTTTGTAACAAAAATAAAACAATTCAAGTAGTTACAAATTCGTGCTGCCACTTCTTAATACGAGTAATCTATTGTAAAAACAAATTTTTTAACAATATTTTGCTTAAACAATAACACAATTACATTACCCACCAAACAAAAAAGCAACGATTTCATAATTTGACAATTACAAGCTGTGTGATATTTAATTAAATAACTTTGAAATTGACTGTTTCAGAGGGAAAACTATGGGAGGATCGAGTGCCATAAACTACATGATATATATGAGAGGGAACAGGAGGGATTACGACAGTTGGGCAGAACTTGGCAACCATGGATGGAGTTATAGAGAGGTCAGTTGATAATGCCGTTAAAGACAACGGTGATAAATTATTAGAGTCTATTTAGAACCATGATATATATACCACAGTTTAAAATAACGTTAATGTTATTTTTAGTAACGCTGTTTCATTTTTGGGTCGTAGAAAATATAATTATTGAGCAATTCTATTCCAGGTTTTAAGTCCCATTTCTGGGTCAGGTCAAGCTATGGGATTTTCCGAAATTCTTAGTAGGCTTGGAGTCTACAATATATCGTACACATATAAGCTGGGTACTAATTCGATTATGTGCTCTGCCGCTTCACAGATCCAAACGCGTGCCGTTTGTGTTATATTCTATACTCAGTACCGCTTCGAAACTTCTTTCTTGGCAGTCGCATATACCAACCATTGTTTTGGCAAATACAATTTTTATAACTTGGAAAATATTCTATAGGTGTACAGGCTTTTTATTTTCTGCAATATTGTCTCCTGCCTCCAACTAATCCGGCAGAGTACAAATGTTTTTTTAAGGTTTATTTTTTTATTTAAAACAGAAGAAACTCTGTATTTGAATTTAAGTGCTATAGTATTTTCAACGATTTTATGAAAACCAAGCTGTGCCTTACAATAAAAATTTTATCGACTTTCATTCCAAACGTAGCGTAATGAATAAATTAAATACTTTTTCAAGTGAAAGGATTATTTTTAATATAATTATCAACTATTATTCCA